ACCTTCAATAAATTCATAGCAAGGTTTATAGTTTTTGTGATTAAGGGGTCAATATATTGTCTACGATTGTATTGGTTCTTTGATTCAATAATTTATTGGGTCATGCTTCAAACTGAGATTTTAGCTTTCTTGGGGTTGTGATTCAATCTTTTATGTATTTCGGAACTATTATTACTATGTGGGTTTACATCAATCGGTATCAGAGCTTTGGCTCTAAAATTTTGTTCTATTTGTTTTTTCCTTTTTTATTTTCAAGTTTGGAAAAAAAAAAGAGCTTAAAAAAATGGCAAAGGGATATTAAGAAAACATAAGAAATTTCAAGAAAAAATATGAAAAAAGTTCAAAAAATATATATATATATATATTCAATTTCAATATCAAGATTCAAAGGCGAATCTTCTCGAAGAGATAGTGAATGATAAGAATCATGGAGGACAAGCTCACAAGGATCCATTGCATGTTCCTGAATGATACAGATTAATTAGAAAAGATCTTAAACCAATTGAAAAAATGGAAGGAATATAAAGTATGGGCGAAAACGCATAGGATGCACAAAAATGAGTATAACTTTCTGCTTGGTTGTCGAATTTTCACCCATGAGTATAATCTGAAAACATCTTTCAATTCTACCCAAGTTTGTCGTATGATTTGTCCAACTTCGAGAGTCAAATTCGACTGTTTAGGGATCTAATATTTTGTTTTTATGTTTTGAATTAGTTTAAGGGTATTTTTTTTTATTTGTGGTATTTTAATTTTATTCAAATTTGTTTTGTAGTTCATTTAGATTTGTCTTTAGAATTAGAGTTTTGTTTTGATTAAGAGTTTATTTTATGCCTATAAAATGCTCATTCATTATACAATAAAGACATTAATTTTTTAGAATTAATCATAATGTAAAATTTTTTCACTTTCTATCTTGTTTTTAATTGAATAGAACTTATTAAATATTTTCAATATTTGTGGCATTCAAACTATCCGAACTTATCAAAGATTCATATTTTTTGTGGTGTTCAACAAATTCATAGCAAGGTTCATAATTTTTGTGAACACGGAATTTCTATATTGTCCGCGATTGTGTTGATTATTTGGTTCAATAAATTAGTGGGTCAAACTTCAAACCGGAATTTTAGCTTTGTTGGGGTTGTGATTCAATCTTTCGTAGTTTTTGGAGCTACTATTGCTCACATCAAGTCTGATCCATTAAGCTGTAAATAATAATAATGAAGTGCAAGCAAAATTTGAGATGCATCTCAATTTACATAAATAATCTATTGAAATATCTATTTTGGAAATCATTGCACCTGAAGCTGAACAATCTGCTTGCATAGAAGATTCTAGCACACAAAATAACACAGTTAAGAAAGTGGAAAAGACTGGTATAACAAAAAGCAGGCAAACAGGACAGTACTTAATTAAGAAGAAAAATAATTTATCATGCATGATGAAAGGCATCCTAAACTGTAATATGCTTGAGAATAAAGAATACAAAGGAAAGTGGGAATCCATTTTATGCGGCCTTGAATAACAAGAATAACAAAATTCTTGCCTTGAGAATACTTCCAGCAGCAGCCTTTACTTTGAGTAAGATTCTAATATTCCATTCCTCAGAATCCCCTTTTTCTCAAAATAAACATCTTTTTCAATTTCGAATACCATTCCAGTTATTTTTATCGTTTTAGTTTTCCAGTCAATACAATCATGAGGGGTCAACAAGGCGCAACCAATCAGCATTTTACACCAGCTCTATTTAATGATTGAATTTCACATAAATTGATTCTCAAATGCTATCAGATTCTTCACTTGGAAATTATCCCATAAAACACGAGAATGTAAAACTTTTTTAAGCACAAGAAAGAATAACAGACGATGATCTCTCTTCTAAAATGGAGAATATTATACATATATAACATGTATATAGAATAAAACTTTTGAAAGCAGATATAAAAACTAATAGCCACTCCATATAATCAAACAATGAACAGAAGTTATGGCAACATCAAGTAAAGGCAACTTAAGTACATGTAAATGTACCATTACTAGAAGGACCATTGGTTCCTGCAAAGAGACTTGAAATACAAGTTGAAAAAGAGCCCTGCTGCAAATACAAGGGAGTGGGCAGGGATTGGATCCAAGGCGAGGTGGCGCAGGGGCCAGGGATTGGATCCAATCCCTGGCCCCAATAGCATTACACGTTGAAAAATATTCCTTCTATTTATGGTTGTACAACACCACAATACTAGTGAAAAGTTCTATGTACCAAAATAATAGAGTAAGCAAAAAGTGCAACAATTTAGCAAGTAGCTAGTGTAAATCAAACGTAGCACCACAACTCAGATGACCAACCAACAAGATCGTTCACTCTCTTAAAAAAAAAAAAAATATATATATATATATATATAGGAGCTTCTTAATGGCAAATGTATAGAAAAACAATATATCAAGCAACTGCTTTCCTGTGTAAAGTTGGAATCAGGGGTGAAGCCTGGGGAGAAAAAATAAAATAAAATAATAATAATAATAAACTAGATTGATACACAAAAACAAATTTTCGTTAAAAAAATTCTTTTCACCTTCAAAAATGAGTAGGAAGGCCAAGACTGCACCCCCCCCCCCCCCCCCAAAGAAAAAAAAGGGGGGAGGAA